GCAAGGCCAAAAGTTTGCGGTAACTTCTTTGGAGGTCCTCACGCAAAAATGCGATGATGTAAAGGAGGGGTAGCTAAAACATCATGCACGCGGAGGGAGGCGACCAGAGCAAAATCAACCCAGTGATGTGAGGCGAAAGTGAAATGCCAACTACTTGGATCGCTCATGAGAACGTGGCTGTGCCCCATTTGTACTTAATTAACCACCACCACCACCGGGGAGCTCGCGGAATAATCCTGCCTCGCTTGACAGCGCAGCGTCACGTGCAGCCTGGAGAGCCTCTGGTTCAGACGAGTCACCGGTGGGCGTGTTCTTCATCTGTGTCTTGTGAATCAAGAACTCAGTGGGCGTGATTCTCAATCAAAAACTTCAGAAGGAAGGTGGCGAAGGATCGATGGCCAGCACTTCTAGGCGCCTTGGTTGAATTTTTTTGATTGCGTTGACACCGGAAGCATGGAAGCATCTATCCGCCCGGCGATCGAGCAGCGTGCGGACGGGGTGAGGCCGAGGCAGCATACGTGCGTACCTGCTGCACCGACACGTCCACCCGCGCCCAAACTCCGAGGATGGTCACTTTTGGAGGGCCGAAAAAGAGTCTGGCAGCTTCGTCCCCCATGGGCCAAGGATGGATCTGCGACGCGCCAGCGCACGCGTACCGCTGCGCAGCAGGTAAGCTGTAGCGCTCTCCCCGTCTCCGGCCATGTTTTCTTCAGAGATATCGTTCCGTCCGTTTCGGAAGGAAAAAAGATATCATTCCGCAGAAAGAAATGAAGGTTTTTAGATATAGCAGCACCGTACGGAAGCTAGCACGCAGGAAGGACCTCGGAGTCACAGAATGGCCTACGTTAGAGCAAGCAAAAAAGAAAAAGAAAAAAAATAAGGAACTTCATCCTAGACTGAATTACTCTGAACGGGCTAAAACGCCGGTATCACGTGCGGCGGTCGACCCTGAACGAGCTTGAACGCCAAGGAGAGTACACTTATTGAAATCAAAGACAGAAAGGAGTATGGATATGTTCAACTAAACATAGAAAGCCTGGATTGGGTGCTAGCTTTAAGGCAGGACCCTTCTTTTACCCTCTTCTCATTCTTAGAGAATGCTTGGATCCAAGAAACTATTTTTAGTCTGACTAAAAATAGTTTTTTTTAGAGGCTAAAGTTCCAAGCACCCCTGACTAAAGAGAGGCTAGGACTAGTCTTGAGGCTAAAAAATTTTAGTCATAGAAAACCTACGAAAATATGTATTAGCCCTCTCTCTCATCATTTAATGCCTCTCCTTTAACACATGCGAGTTCTGGATTAAAGGGTTTGGAGGATAATAAATGCTCAATAACTTGATTTTAGTCTTTTTAGTATTTGGATTCAAACATGGGTGAGGCTAACAAATTTTAGTCCCACTACTTTTAGTCATAGGAGTAAAACGTATCCAAGCACCCTCTTATACTACTTCTCTCTTCTCTGCTAGCTAGCTGTAGCATGGCGGGCCTGATTTATACTGATAAACTAATCAGTTCGAACGGAAAATGATTCATCCCCGTTCGGAGAAACAATAATTTTTTATCTTCCCCGGTGGGCGCCACGGCGGCCCAAAGCTGCGTCCCAACCCCATTACCAACATGATTATCTGTGTTTCTTTTGGGCCGCGCCGAAAGCGAGTCACCAACTACTCCAAAAAAGAAGGATCGATCGATCGATCTGCCGAGCGGCTATCCAGCCCTGTCGCTCCATTTTAGCGGCACGTATTAATAAGTTGCTGTAGTTCTGCACTTTTAATTACGCCACGCATCACTGAACAACGGACGTACGAGCAGCTTCTGCATGCGCTTGACTCGCCGATGGAGCGGCCGGCGCAGGTGTCCCCCAAGCCCCAGCTCATCGCCGTGCTGCGTGCGTAACTGGCGTAGTGGTTGTAGTACCTTTTCGTCCCACTGACCGCCGCGACCAGAGGGAGGGAAGGAGGGAGGGGAAATCGGAGGAGCAAAAGGCGGCGAGTGATCCAACAGAATGATTCGCCGGGCGGCGCTGTAAAAGAGGTGGCGCGGATCGGGAAGAGAGCGACGGGGGAGGAGCCCGGTGAGTCGAGTTTCAGTTTCAGGATGGGAGGAGGAGCACATGCGTGGGCTGGGAGCGTGCGCCCACTTGGGCTGGAACTCCACACGGCGAGTAAATTGCATAGAAGTATCACAATTGAGGCATTGGAAGCAGATTGGTACCAAGTTTGGTAATTTTTACATGTCAGTACTAAGTCTGAGGCTATACGTTACAAAAAGGTCTAAATCGCGTATAAACGCGTATTGACAGTGTATCTGACCGGCGGGGCCCGCCTGTCAGCTGCCGACGTGGCATTTTTTTTGCAGAAAACCCCCCGCACCTCCTTCGTCCTCACACGCGGCGGCGCTCGATCTGGATCGAGGGGAGGAGAGCACGGCGGAGACCCCAGCGCTGGCCGACCGGCCGCATCACCGACGGCGAGAAGAGATCCCGCCGCGCTCGTCCTCGAATGAGTCACCAGGGAGGACTCGCGAGCCCGAGCGCCTCGGCACGGCCGGAGCGGCTGCTCGACGGTGGGCTCACCAGCGGGACGCCGAGTGGCAAGGGAGCCGCGTCCCGTGGAGGACGGCATGCACGGGTATCCCGGCAGCAAGAAGGCGAGCGCGTGGCTGGCGGCGAGGATCTCCTCCTCGTCGGCCTCATCCCAGGGGGCGGACTCGAGGTAGTCGGCGCAGGCGGCGGCGGTGCGGGCGCAGCCAAGGTGCGCGGCGGCCTCGAGCAGGGCGAGCGCGCCGCTGAATCCGAAGCAGGAGACGGGGTCGGCGGCCTCAAGCAGGATCTGGCACGTCGGCCAGGCGTCGGAGAGGCGGTCGGCGAAGTAGCCGCTCCCGGCGGCGAGCACGCCGGAGTGGCAGTAGAGCCATTCGTCGCGGCCCGAGTCCGGCATCCGCAGTCGCACCACCACGTCGCTCGTCGCCCTGTCGCCGATCTTGGGCCGCGAGCAGAGGCCGCGGCGGCGCGACCAGAGGCCGCGGCGGCGCGAGCAGGGGCAGCTCCGGCGCGAGCGGGGGCGGCGGTGATGCGAGAGGAGCTCGGGCTCGAGGGGATCCTCCCCTCGATCCAGACCGGGCGCCGCCGTGCGGGGGTTTTCTGCAAAAAAAATGCCACGTCGGCAGCTGACAGGCGGGCCCCGCCGGTCAGATACACTGTCAATACGCGTTTATACGCGATTTAGACCTTTTTATAACGTATAGCCCCAGACTTGGTACTGACATGTAAAAATTACCAAACTTGGTACCAATCTGCTTCCAATGCCCCAATTGTGGTACTTCTGTGCAATTTACTCCCACACGGCAGGCATAGGGATCGACGTGCGCACGCCCGGAGAGTGCGCAAGTTGGTGACGGCCTCGCAGGTATGTACTCCACGTTTTACCCCTTCGGGCGCTTTGCTTGGAACGGCACCAACAGCCGTCCGGGCGGTATGATTGTGCTCGGCGGAGGAGATCACGGTATGCCTGAAATGAGATGGGAAGTGGGGGCGAGATCTACCACTACTAGTACAGTACTGTCTTGATGGATGGTTGACGTCGATTTTGAAGCTACCAGCGTTTGGAGACCATCGAGTTCAGATGACACTAGTACCAAAAACCAGGGAAAATGTTTTGCTAGCAGACACCTGCCCTGGTGGCCAAATTGCGAGGTACTGACGGGTGGGCCCGGATGTAATGAGACCAGACCACGCGGGGTGCGATCGCAGCAGCCCGCAGGGATCGGGTGGCCTACGCGAATCGAATCAGGCCGAGCCACCGGAGCTGGGGCCCTGTGTCAGGGGCTGAGAATGTGCCGACCACCTGATTGCTGCGAGAATCCGCCGGGGAGGGGCTGGCTCCCTCGTGCGGTCTGTCTGGGGACTGCAAGGGGGTTGGGGTTTTGCCTGGATCTGGATGCATCCATCGGCGCGTCCCTTTGCGCATTGGGATTTGTTGGGAGTTGGAGCCAGAGCCAGAGCCACACCTATGAATTGGACCAAGAAGATGGTTTAACTTTGGAATTTCACGTACAGTTGGATGTGTGGGGAATATTTTCTTGTCGGCTTATGTCTCTACTCCACTGTAAAAATGGATTCGCTGTAAGAGCACACGGTATTTTTCTTAGGCAATCAGAGGCCACATAGTGAGAAATAAGCCCATGCAAATCACGGCCCAGTAGGCCAGTACCGACCACAGCCAGCTTCAACCATTTTACATCTCGAAAAAAAAGATATAGCTTCAACCTTTTATACGGCAAGACGAGGCTTCTCGCCTTTGCTACGTTTTTCCGTCCTGAGATAGGTGCATAATAAAATACCCCACAAAAGAACCAATTGAAAGGAAAGTGTTACTTGCATACACTATGAGAAACGGGAGAAAGAAAAAAAAATCAGTATAGATAGTAGTAGTCTTATGTTTTTTTTCAAGTATTTAGTAATGAAAATTTGCAAGAGAGCACATAGGCATAATAAAAAGGGTAAAGAGACACTAATTTATTTCACACGCAAGAGGTATGGAATAAACAGTTCATGCAAAAAAAAAAACAATATATAGACCACATTATCAACATTTCCTTTATTGTTATTTCAACCAGCTCTTTACAGTAACGAAGTATGATGTCCGAACAATAATATCACAAGATTAGGTACATCGGTAAACAAAGGGGCAGTTGTAGAGGGGCTCCCGTTTGTACGGAACAAGATTCTTCTCAATTCTGAGCAGCACCAATTGAAGTTGTAACAATCAATTCCCTCTACCAGTCCTTTTGGAAAGAAGAAATAATAGGCTATGCACAGAGACTACCGTATCAGGACTCAGGAGCTGCAGCTACCTACAACACAGCACAGCGTGAACTTGCATAGGCAACAAAATTGGCCAGCGTTGCAGAAGGTTACCAGTAATTTCTGTGACAGCCAGCCGCTTCCTTGTTTCACGTGTTATGGTTTGAAATATATCAATCCTTCACATGGTTAAATCGTCAATTCTTCACTGCCCAGCGGCGGCCCCTTATCTCGTAGCCATCAGGCGTCTTATCACCACCTCCCCAACTATCCGCGGTAGCAACTGTGCTGACAACTCTACGTTGCTTTTTGCCCTTCAAGACCCCGCTGTCACTTGTGCTCCCGCTTAATAGCGGATCATCGATGCCACGAACCGGTCTCTCTGGCGATGCTGCACTCACCCAGTTGTCATCCTGGGTGTTCTTATACTTGTCTTTCTTTTTCAGCAGTTTATCAAACCGCTTCTCCACCGGCCGCACTGCTTGGTTAACAGTAAACTTAAAATCCTGGATCACCTGAAAGTGGGTGGAAGAAAAATAAAACAGAAGCATGAGAACAGAGAACCATACTGTGAGCACATGCTAACCACTTATTTGTAATTCATAACTAATCTGAGACATGATAAAATGAAGTGTATTGTCTGTAAAGATTTGTCAATAGGAGTCTAGAACTCACATATTCCCCACTGCCAACCACAAAGTCGCGAACACTCTCTTTTATGTTTGTTGCACTTCTCTCATCCGGTTCGAACTGTGGAAGCTTCATTTTGCTCGGCCGGTTACTCTCCTTGACTTCTTCAGGATCTATAGGGTCAGAGGATGCGTAATCTCCAAGGACTGAAATGTTTCCAGGTGACTGGTTAACTAAGAGCTCATAGGGTTTAGCAGGGAACACATAGAGGTGAACAGCTGACGCAATGCCCATCTGTGCTGGAGGAAGACACGATGCTATCAGATATTACAGGTAATCACAGAAACATGATGGAGTATTTCTTAAAACCAAAGCTAAGGAAACTCAAGGCCAACTTGGAAAGATAAATACCTCTATGCAGATAATAAAATCTTGAATACTTGATTTTAACTGCAAGCTCTGGGCTAAAGGACTTCTAAGCAGGCCCAAAGAATACATTATTGCAATCACCACCCCTTGCCACCAAGTCAAGAATACTATTGACTTGAACGAAAGAAACTTAGCCAGAGGTTTTATATGTGCCAATTCGTCCTTGGTAGCTGTGTACCATTCTACTAAACAGTATAGGGCCCAAAATTGACTGAAATTCAGGATTGCAGCAAAATAAGGGTATCTGCATCAAAAAGATATGTAAGAGCTATATAAGATAAATGAAGCAACATATAAGCATACCGAAAAGCAATTAATTAATTCAGCAATCTCAGCTTAGGCTTCAAGGGAAAGAGCAAGATCTGGATAGATTTTCTGATGATTGGAGAGCAAAAATGGAACATGTTCTAATCTGTTTAATTCATCGTAATAAAATGACATGAAAAAGCTACATTTCATATTCTATCTACACATTGAACTCTTCTGCACAAACAACTCAAAGTGTGGACAGTGCCTATTCCCCTGTGAGATTACACAAGCAAAAAAGAGAGAATTATCTTACCCACATCGTAAATTGAATTCACCTTCACAATATACACCAAAAGCTTCTAGAAAAAGAGATAAGCTAGCTGTGAGTGTCTTTATAATCACCTACATAAGCAAAACACTTCAACTAAGTTATTCTAAACATTTCAGAATTAACAAATTGCAATATGGGGCAGTGGACATACATATTGGAAGATTCCAAATTTGATAATCTGGTAAAATCGCGTCCCCATTCGCCAGGGTTTCAAAATATAATTCACGGGAAAATGATGGTGTATAATTCCTTTCTCGGAAGCATGATGCAAAAGGGGTTGCCTAGAATCTGAGCCGCCTTCCCTCTTCAAAAAGGCTATCGTTTTTTCTTCCCCACCTACATATGAACACACACAGTAAAGAAAGAGAAATACAGAAAAGGGAATACACAACTTGCACCAAACGCTACATTGCCAAGTCACAACAGCAAACAGACGATACAAAATTTTGCAAGTGAAATCAAACAATAATGGTAGGGCACTCAAAAGCCAATAAGCCTGACTAAGGCCCTGTTTGGATTGAGTGTAAATTTTGTGTGCTCCCGGTATTTAGTTACCGGGCCTTAACATCCAAAGTTTCAAACTATGACTCCTATGTAAATGCTACTTTTAAGTCTTGTAAGGCATTAACTCGTAAGTAGTTTAGCATATGGTGTAATCGATACATGTTTACATCATTTCCAGGGAATTGCTACTTACAGTAGCTATTGGAGCCAGAGCCGAAGCCAGACCCGATAGTGAATCGATGTGGCAGCTACTGGTCGGATCAACAATTAACATTTGACAATGTTCTCAATATTCAAACTCGTTTAAATTATGTAGTTAATTTTTAAAAAGTTTTTACACATCAATTCAATAATTGAAAATTTATGCATGTGAAAACAAGAAAGTAGTAACATTTGTTTCAGGAAAAGAGGAAGAGTAGTGCAATTGGACAGATTATCCTATTAAACACAAATATAAGTATCAAAGCAAAGGTAAATGCACACACCCATCATTAATAAGACGGATAGTCATGGATATGCACTGGGCTTGGCAGGCCATTGTAGGATCAAGTGAATTGCTGCAAAGATGCCTGATGCCAAAATACCAATGTTCTTTTTTATGGCATCAGGGGGCAGTTCCCGTGCTGCCGCTGTTTCTTCAAGCTCTTTGGCCATCGTGAATCAGAAGCAGATCCAAGAAAAGCACCGTTTCTTCAAGATCCCAGCAACCGTGAGGCCATGATACTCAGCAGATGTTGCGGGATCTGCTGTTGCTACTTGCTAGGAGCCTAGGAGTACAACAATCTATGGTGCTCGCTGTTGCTGGGTGTTCAATCCCAGAAAGCTGACCAATAGTCACTACTGCCCATTGAAACAAGTGCAATCTATGTTGTGATATTAGTCTGCTTCCCTAGGACCTTACCTCTCGCCAACTTTCCAAATTACCCCAAGTAAAGCAGTGTACAAGCGGAATCTACTCTGTAAGCAAAGCCGTCATGTTCAGTCATAACCATCCGGTTCACTGTTTTTTGCATAAACTGCTGGGTTAGAAAAAAAAATCCCAGTCCAACTTTGGTCTTTGGAGGAATGGAGCCGCTTGTACCTTTGACTCCATTTCACTCCAGGAAATTCCAGCCTGGTTTTATTAACTATAAATCTATAATAAGAATACATCGATTGAGAAACCCACCCCTTCTAGTTCTCACTTCTCAGATATACAAGGCACTGGTAAATGCAAGCAGCATCCATTCCACAGGGTTGCATTGTTCAAATGCATCGTTTATCCGACAGTAATTTTTTAAATGTAAAGTAAAGAAACAGCTTAGCATCAACACTTAAATGTAGAAAAGGGTAAACCTTTAATCATCCTCCAGCTCTATACTAAATGCAATTCCAGAACCAAAGCTGGCTGCGGCAAGGTAACAAAGTAGGGGTTATGCCAATGTCACTAGACAGAACTTACCTAAACATGCAGTGATATATCTTCCAAAGCAGTACATAGCTAATGCTTCGTAACCCTCGCGCAAGATGCCACAGTAAACAGTGATATTTGGATCTACCAAAGAAACATACTGTTCCAAAAGGAGAGCAAGATCATTAAACATATCACTGCAATTATTTAGCACATAAAGAAACCGCTTAGAGGTTTTACCGACTCAATTGCATAGCAAGGGACCATCAAAATAACACCCAGAACAAATTTCTGTTCCTGCAGAGGTAGAACAAATACAAATCAGTAAAAGTTGAAATTTCATGACAAGGTGCAGCAACAGAAAAGCACAAACCTCTGGGTTGTTGTATGCCGATAGATGCTCAAATATCAGGTACATGGAGAGGGAAAGGGCAAGCAGCACAAAGAACCCGGCGACCAATGTGGCCCATGCGGGTGTTTTGTATTGCGCCATCAGGGGCATGAGGAGCTCAAGCTTGACCCTCATGGTGGAAGACAACAATTGTTCGAAACCTGTGCACTATCACAAGCGCTCAAGATCAACCAACATCACCTTCCCTGCATCAGTGGGCACCTCCAGATGCACAAGGCACACGTCGCAATGGCAAATGCCTACAGAACCCGACTGACAAACCAAATTCCAGTACGAATCAGATCAAATTCTGAGAATCCTCACTTGATGGTTACTATCTGCAGAGCCGAAACAAGTTTGTTAGTTCTGAACCTGTCACTGATACCAATCAATCTATCGATTATCCGAAAACAACATAATCTCCGACAGCCCCAATCTGGAAAAAACGTACTACTGAGTTCGTTTCAATAGAACATGGACGCAAACAGCTACAGGTGAGAGCAACAAGGCCACCAAAGGCAGAACCTGGGGCAATGAAAGAGGGCGAAGGCAACCTACCCAAGTACCAACAATAACTAACGGCACCAAAAAGAGTACGCGATTCAGGCCGCTCAACTTCCTCGTCCTGGAAACAGCGGAAGGGGGTGGAGGGGAGCCTCTACGCGCGCGACGACGGGGCTAAGCCGGACGAATTCGACTCCACGGAGCAGCTTGCTTGCACAGAGGATTTGAACGAAAGCTGACCTAGCGAAGCACCCGGGCGGCGGATCGAGGCGATTTGGGCGTCGCGGCGGGGCGGGGGACGCTCTGCGCGTGATTTCCCGCGGCGGAGGAGGTGGCGGGGGGAGTCGCGAGTCGTGACGGCGCCGGCGGTCTGTTCCCCCTGTCCTGTGGCCCGGCGTCTTCTTCAAGGCGCTGACGTGGCGGAGAAGAAGGTTTAACCGGCTGTCTTAGAGAAAGGTCAATGGCGACCAGGCCAGGCCTGTTTTTGTTGTGTTGAAAGCAAATCGGTCGGGCCTGGTACTTTCACGTTTATTTAATTTTGGGCGCAAACCACTAGAGGCCCATGAGCGATATACTACTAGTAGTGCAGCCCACTTAGGCTGGAATCCTCGACTCATCATAAAAAAAAACACTTAAGCACGTTCATGCCTCAGTTACTATTAGGCGCCTTAAGCACCATTTATAGGCTATTCTGTTAACTGGTGCACACCCCCTACAGCAGCACTATGTACAAAACGGGCAGAAAATGAGCAGGCCCATGTAATATTTTTCCGTCAGTTTTGTAGGTTCCGCTGGTTTTTCGGGCGGCTTTTATTTCTGTTTTCCAGCACGGGGTTTTTAGATGGTTTTTGTTTGGCTTTCACTCATTTTATTCCCCCGTAAACGGGCGCACACCCCCGTGCCACGCTGGGTCGGCCCGTTTTCCTTGTTTTTCTGTTAAAAAACAAAAGGGTGTGTGTAGAAGGAGTTCGAAGAGGAGCGCAATAACCAGTAGGACAACGAAACACTTGTACCTACATACTTCTTTTTCTTCTTTTGTTCTTTCTCTAGGTTGCGAGAGCCCCGGTTTTAGGAAGCTTAACTGGTTTTCTTTGGTTCACTTGTTAGTTTCCAGATGGCTCTTATTAGGTTTTCTTGTTTCTTTTTTTAAATGAGCAAACTTTTTTCAAATTTGTGAATTTTTATAAAAATTGATGAACTTTTTTCCGAAGTCCATGAACTTCTTTCAAAATAGATGATTTTTTAAAAAAAATGTTAACTTTTTTTCAAAATCAGATGATTTTGTTTTTCAATTTTGTAATATTTTTTACCAAATTCGATGAAAAATTTGGATTTTGTGAACTCTTCTTAAAAAAATAATCAAGAGAAAATCAAATTTGATGAACTTTTTCCAAATTTGTGGAAAAAACTTCAAATTCAGTGACTTTTTTTCAAATTCAATGATTTTTTTTAATCGATTAACTTTTTTTCGATTTTAGTATTTTTCAAATCTATGAACGTTTTTGAACTCACAAACTTTTCCTTTTTTTTATGTTTTTTTTTGTTTTTACCATTTTTTCAAAAGACAACAGTTAACCGGTCAACTATCAACCAATCAACCGTCAAACGAAAGCGACGAAGGTGTTCGCTGTCGAGCAATTTAGTTCTGCCTCGTGATGGGCCGGCCTATATAGGAGCAGTCGCGTGGGCGCCATAAATAGGATGTCCCGTCTCTCAGGCAGTTCATGAGACACGAAGGAAGCGAAATCACTATTTAAGGAGTACTTTTTGTAAAGATCACTTCCACATCCCCGAATTGCGACAAGTGGCGCATTGCATGGCACTTGCCGCAACCTGGGAGTTTTCCCTTTTCTCTAGATTTTTTTAATTATAAAACATTTTATCTCTTAAACTATGCGTCCAAATCTTGAAGCGTTTCCACCATTGGATTCATCTCCTCCATATTTTGAAAATTAGATCTCATGTTGATAGGTTTTGAGAAACCTTTTTTCACAAAAAAATGGAGGAAATTACCGAACCGGGAGCACGTTTTTTTCCTTTATGAAGAGGCACAAGTGTGCCTCTCGCGGGAGCAAACCCGTGCCTCCACTAGAAGTAAATTTTTGTGTCTCTTGTGAAAGAAAAAACACGTTTTTTTTGTGCCTCTCGCAGACGCAAATCCGTGCTTCTCGCGGGAAAAAAAATGAAAACATATTTTTTGTACTTTTGCAAGAGGCACAACCATGTCTCTTGCGGAAGAAAAAAATAAAACACATTTTTTCCCTTTTTCAAGAGGGCTTCACTAGAAGTAAATCCGTGCCTCTCGTGGAAAGAAAAAAAAATATTTTTTCCCTTTTGCGAGAGGGATGACTATGCTTCTCGACGTTCTCGCGGAAGCAAATCCATGCCTCTCGTGGAAGAGAAAAAACATGATTCTTTCCTTTTCCGAAAGACACGGTTGTCTCTCTCGCGGTAGCAAATCCATGCCTCCACCAGAAGTAAATCCTTGCCTCTTGTGCAAGGAAAGAAACATTTTTTCCCTTTTGCGAGAGGCGAGAAGTTTATATGTGCCTCCCGCGGAAGTAAAAAAATGAAAACACATTTTTTATGGAGATTGTTTTTCAAAAAAATTTGGCCCAAAACCTAAGAAAACCCTGGGGAAAAACAAAAAGTTCATCCGAAATCCCAAAACGCGTACAAAAAAAATCCGAAGAGAGACCCAGGGCGCGATACGTGGTGGCTGATGAGAGGCCGCCAAGTGGCACTCACCCAGCCCTCTCAAAATGACCCTTGCGGGGGCTCCCGAAGGAGTACTCGTTCATTAGTTGCGCTCGGAAGGAAGGGTGTTTTAGTTGGGCTTTCTGTAGTATAGGGCCCAAATGCACCACAAACCTTCAAACTTTCCACCTAAGTAACAGCCCCTAGGACATTGGCCCAGTTTCGCGAGCTGAATTTAAATAAACAGCCAAGAATGATCCAAACGGCAATCTAACGGCCGAAATCTCTAATGGCGTGAGAGGGCTGGGACGTGGGAATCACTTCAGTTTTACTGTCCTAAAATTTTTGGACTGTTGACAGACATCGATTAGAATTGGTTATGTACCCTTAACATAGAACAGTTTTCTTGAAGTATTCTAATTTCTAACATTGTCCTGCCATGGGCTTCATATCAGGTCCTGCTCATAAAAGAGACATTCATGTTTCCTCAAGATTGGGAATAGGTGGAAAACCAGGAACATTAACTTACATTGCCGGGGTGTACAAGATGGCAGGAAAATAGGACATACAAATGGAACTTAGCATTTTTTTTCTGTCCAATTCGAGTAGCCATTGCAATGATGTATATACAGCTCACATGATGTTCTTTGCGTCACACACGGTTTCTGGCACTTGTGTGCTGATGGGTGATGAAAGGCCATATCTATACTAGTGTGTGCTTGGTGGCACTCTGTGTTGATACTCCAAATCAGTCTTTCACTGTGAATTAGTTATGCTACTTCCCGGTTTTCTGTTGTGATCTCAACTTATATTACACGAATTTTCAGTGTTATGCACTTGTCCAGAATCGGTTACGCCATTGTTAAATTGAGTAATTCTGGTTGTTCTCCATGTTTCTTTCTGCCATGCATAGACGGCGTCCTTAGCCTGCTGGACAAGAGTCGACTAAGTGAGAGCATAGATTAGTTGAAGGAATGAGGATGATGATGTGGATTATTCCAACTTGAATAGCCCATAAATACTAGTAACAGCCACAATTATTCTATTTTAGTGCCCTCAAGTAACTGATGGATTTAACCACCGAAATCCCATCAATCCATTCGTTTGGTCACATTCAAACTTAATTAAGTAGAGGTGTGTCTGATCAAGATTCCGCTTCTCAGCTACAAAAACATGGCGTGGTAGTATGAAATTATGGCGACCCCCTTTGTTTCAGCTCCTCTTTGAAATGTCGTTGGGACATGAGTTTTTGAAAACCAATGACTAGAAAATTCTAGGATGACTAAAAACATAATCTATTAACATAATGTCATGAATTTAACCCGTCCCACCAAGTACCAAAGCACATTTTGACATAGTAGGCAGTCTATTACGGTTCCATTTAGGATCACAAACCTTAGTTTCTTTACATGTTTTTTACCCCTCTTGGTCACAAATGTAGGTAGCTTAGCTATAACATATATATTTGGGATGAAAACACCAATGTAGAAAAAAAGAACTACAAACATAATCAACAACAAATTGTGAACGAAACCATTGTATTTCATGAATCCAACAATTCAAACAGCAACTGAAACATCGACAGATAGAGAGATAGGTTTGTTGCTTCATTTCATGCAGGCAAATGCTCTTTACAAGGTTCCATGGCACTCTTTAACGAAGGCTAAATCATTATTAGCCGGAGCGCAACTTAACGACTGAGTACTCGGAGCGTCGTCCACAAACGATCATACTAAGGTTATTACATCGCCACAAGCATGTTGCAAACCTGCTGCACTTCTGTGCAACATCAGCAAGATGTTTCTGCATGTTCTCAGACGGATACTTAAAATCTATCAAGAAGGATAGATTGCTCTAGATTGTACCGGAAGTTTCATCCCCCCAGCAAGAAGTGCGCAGGCTCCACTTTCGTCACACAACCAAACTTGAATGTACTGTATTTCCTGTGAACGCCTGTAAGCTTGCCCCCTGCTGCCTTCTGGTGGAATTGTACCATCATTTTGGAGCACTCACTGTATTAAAAAACAAGCCAACAAAGGAGCAGATAAGTCAGCATACATTCCTCCTAATGGCGCACATGTTTCTAGATACAGTTAGTCATGACAGAAGGCAAGCTTACATGAGCTGATCTCTAGTGTATCTGCTATGTGTCTCGCAGATCTTTGTCCACTGCCAGCAGCGATTGATAGCACACTGTGCAGTGTAAACTGCAGCGGCAGCAAGCAGCGAAGGGCAGTACTTGAGCATTTGGTATTCAACCAGGCAGAGCTCAAGCATGAAGAAAGAAACTAGCTGCAGCTGTGATTCACAACATGCATATGGCATTGTGTCAGCCGCAAATACAAAATGTTATTTCTGTAAATTTTTCTGTTTAAGTACGGAAGCACTAAGCAGAATTCAGAAGGTTACGATACTTAACCTGCTTGTCAGAATCAGCTGCCTTCAGGAACCTTCTCATAAAAACATATGGCGTTGGTACAGACATGTTGTACTCCAGAGTGTTTAGGACCGACTTTTCCTGCTCAAACACAGAAGATTCACCCCTATTAGTACGGAACAGATAATAGCCAATTGGCTACTCTAAAATACAGTAGAAGCTGAAGAAAACATTCAGAAAACATCTGCGGTTGGATAGCATGAAGGAATTTTGGATAGGTACACAAGGACTAGAAGCAACGAGCATGATGAGCATACTGTATTGAATGATTTTACCATTTCAAGAATCTGTCCTTTAGTGTAAGCCCGGTCAGAAATGAGCACTAAATCTTCAACAACTGGAACTGAGACTTCCTCATATTTACAAGCAAGAAGCATAGCTGTCACTCCAACTAACTGCAACTTCTTCCTTGGCACCACTTGTTTTTCCAAGTATCTGTCTATTATGTTCACGGTAAGAAAGAGTGTCTCATCCATCAACTCAAACTTGTAATGAACCTATCAAGTGACAAAAAATATATAATGAGTCCCAAAACACAGTTGTTCGAATGGGAACAAATCTATAGGATAGAGAAGGCTCAGGGTTTGCAGGCTTTTCTACCTCAATGAGCCAATCTATCAGAATAGCTCTCATCTTTTCATTTATGTCTTCTTGACTGGACATGTAATCAGGACGCACACAGCTCATTTTCTGCATAAAACCATAATGATATTAGGAAATACTGAAAAGTTAAGGAGGCCAAAACCTTCAGGGTACACAGAACAGGAAAAAGAGTATTCTAGCACTTGCTTTTCAGTCATGCCAATGGGCACAAATTTATCATGATCGTATACTGGTTTTAGGTAATACTGAGAAGTCAAGGAGGCCAAAACCTTCAGGGCACACACAACAGGAGAGAGAGTATTCTAGCACTTGCTTTTCAGTCATGCCAATGAGAACAAATTGCTATCAGCCATCATAAACCAAACTGTTTTCCATGTTGATCATGGCTTGCATCAAGAATATCACAGTTTACTACTCCCTCTGCCCCAAAATAAGTGTCTCAACTTTGTACTACAACTTTGTACTAATGAGAAGTTAAGGAGGCCAAAACCTTCAAGGCACACACAATAGGAGAGAGAGAGTATTCTAGCACTTGCTTTTCAGTCATGCCAATGAGAACAAATTGCTATCAGCTGTCATAAACCAAACTGTTTTCCATGTTGATCATGGCTTGCATCAAGAATATCACAGTTTACTACTCCCTCCGTCCCAAAATAAGTGTCTCAACTTTGTACTGACTTTAGTACAAAGTTTGTACTAAGGTCAAGACACTTATTTTGGGACGGATGGAGTATGAGTGTATGTGGTTGATTTCAGTGGTTCAAAGGTAGTATTTGATCTAAGGCATGGTAATAAGAAAGCAAAATTGTTGTCACACACAATTGCATTAGTTGTGACCCAAGCTGGACCTTCCAGAATCATAACAAAAACCTATCTTTGGACCAACTACTCTGATTTTCACTCAAAACCTACGAGCCTCAAAACTTTCATTGCCCCGTTGTCCCTTACTGTCATACCGGTCACTCGAACCAAAAAATTCAAAGGTTTATATTCACATTAGTTGCTCACGGCACTTAGAATACCAATCCTTTTATTTTAAGACAGGCATCTTTTTGTTAATGCATTTCATTAAATCATACTTCCTCCGTCTGGAATTAGTTGTCGCTCAAATGGATGTATCTAGCACTGCGATTGAGCGTCAACTGATTCCGGGCGGAGGGAGTACTACAATAAAAATATTGTATAATGTGTACTGATTACAAGATTCTGGTCAAATTCATTAATTTTCTTTGCATGCGCCTACCTTTAATCATTAAAGCGTAATGAATCCGGCATTTCTTTTGTTTTATTCCACAAAAAGATTATACAGATCACTTCATTTTCTCTGTAGAACTTGTAAATCTCTTCGACATACTACAATTAAATTATTGTTTAATGTGTACTGATTACAGGATCTTGGTCAAATTCATTTATTTTGTTTGCATGGGCCTACCTTAATTCATTCAAGCATAATGTCAGTCATAGAAAATGCATCATTTCTTTTGTTTTGTTTTGTTTTCACAAAATGAAGATACACATTATGTGACACTGATGGGCAAAAGATCACCTCATTTTCTCTGTAGAACCTGTAAATCTCTTCGACGTACTCAGTTGCGGCCAGCGGATTCCCGGAGTCGACGCTGTCGATGTCCATGAGGGATACATCATCCACAATATCCTCCTGTTCTTCCTCATCCTGCAGTACCAAACACAGCAGTGAGCATGAGCCACCCCCTACTGATAAACTAAACAGTGCTAATCATCAGAAAGCATATGTATACCATGTCAGTATCGTCCTCGGCCGACTCGATCTCTTCATCAGTGTCATCGGGGATGGGCTCATCCTGGGGATCAACTCCGGGTTTTGCCGCATCAGCTGCGGTGGCCGGATGGACAAGTTGTTCTTTGTTCTCCAATAAGAGGGCGACTTTCCTGAATTAGCAGAGTGGCGTCAGATCAAGGCCCCAAAAGTGAGAGCACAAGAAGAGGGAGCGTCCTAACCTCGTCATAGGACGATGGCTCACCAATGCTGGCTTCTTCTCATCCCTCCCACTCTTCCTGAAAAGAAAAGAAAGGCAGGACGCGCCGGGATTACATCTCGATCCAAGAAACATGGGAGAGAACAAAAAAAGAACATTTTTTTAACAGATCGGGCGAGGAGATTACTCTAGCATCGGCTTCTTGGCGATGGCGCGGGGGTACGGGTGAGCCCCCGCGAGGTTGTTGAGTTCCTTGAGCGGCCTCCGATTCCCCATCTCTGCACCGATCACAAGGACAGATCAAGAGATCAGAAAAAAGGGGGGATCGTGACGGCGCAGGCGTATATCTGAACCAAGGACCCGAACCTCGGACGCTGGGCACGGGCTTGCCCACCACCGGCCTCCGGTTCTCCCCGGCCCTCTCCATCGCCGTCGCCGCCGGGCACCTGAACAAAGAGAGAGACCACGCGGCGGCGTCAGGATCCAGGAACGGAAGGCGCGATTCAGACGCGGCCGCGAATCGGGACGGCACGGCACGCACCACGGGGAACGGGAGCGGCAGGCGGCGGCTTCCTTCCTCGTCCGATCCGGGGCTACGAAGGCAGCAGCACGCCCATGCAGAACGGGGACGGACGCGAAGAGGGAGCGGCGGCGGCGGCGGCGGCGTTAAAAACAGGAGGAGGAGCGGGTACGAACAATGGCAACGTCCCTCACTCTCTCTGACCGACCGCGTGGGGATTGGAAGACGGGGGGA